ACTATAATAACATGGCGCACAGATTTTTTTTACTTTACGCATTTTTACTTTGACTGCTTTTGCTGTCAGACAGATGTTGATATTGTCTGACGCGTCTGAAGCTGAAGAATGCCAGTAGTCTGTACAACTGGTCCAGAGATCCATCAGTCCTTAAAACCATATGTTCAAACACAAACAATGACTTCAGAAAGTATTCAGACCCCTTCACTCTTTGCACGCTTTGTGTGGTAGAGTTTCAATGGGTAAAATATTCAGTAACCCATCATTACAAATATTTTATCTTCAGTCATAAACAAAAAGCTGGTAAGACACCAAATAATTCTGTAAATGAGAATTTCAGTTTGATATTTAATACATGTGCAAAAACCAAACTAAAACCACATTTTCCCTTTGTCATTATGGGTTATAATCTCCAGTCTAATAAAATGTGTAAATCAGGTGTGACTAATTTCTGAAGACACTACAGTTCTTTCTCTGCGTGTTTACTAGTTCAACATTAAAAGATGTCTTAGGACATAAATGATACTGGTCTACAGTCACCACGCTCTGAAACCTTTGCTATTTCTGGGCCACTGGAAATTAAAATATCTAAAATTCAGTGGCCGGTCCCGTGCACAGCCAAAGACTGTGTCGATAACTCATCCATCCGACCGGGTGGCAAGGAGCAGCAGGACACAAGTGTCACAAAAATGTCCAAAGCTCCAGTGCTTACCAGGGATGCCTAGATAATCTTCTTTATTGTTTACAGTGGCAAGAAAAAGTATGTGAACCTTTTGGAATTTCATGGTTTTCTGCATTAATTTGTCATAAAATGTGATCTGATCATCTAAGTCAAGAGTACTGACGAATATAATGTGCCTAAAACAAAAAAATGTCTTTATTGAACACACCCATTCAACATTCAAAATGGTAGTGGAAAAAGTAAGTGAACCTTTGGAATTAATAACTGGTTGACTGTTATCATCATGATATTCAGTGCCCTTTTTACGCCAGATGTAGTGCTGCGTGTTCTTTCCAAATGGTACAATCTTAGTTTCCTCAGTCCAGAAAACATTTTGCCAACAACGCTGTGGAGTGTCGCTGTGCTTTTTCACAAACATCAAGTGCGCAGCAATGTTCTTTTTAGCAGCGGCTTCCTTCGTGGTGTCCTGCCATAGACACCCTGCTTGTTCAATGTTTTACGTAGTGTAGACTCATGAAAACAGATGTTAGCCGGTTCCAATGACGCCTTCAAATCTTTGGCTGTCATTCGAGGTTGTTTCTTTGCCTCGTTGGTGAGTCTTTGTTGTGCTCTTGGGGTCATTTTAACTGGGCGCCCACTTCTTGGTAGAGTAGCCACAGTCCCAAAGTGGCTGCATTTGTAGATCGTTTGCCTAACTGTAGACTGGTGAATTTCTAAAGTCTTTGAAATCACTTTGAAACCCTTTCCAGCTTTATGTAAATCAACAATTCTTGTTTGTAGATCCTCTGAAAGCTCTTTTTGGTGAGGCATGGCTCACATAAGCATATTCTTCTTGTGCAGAGCAAACTCTAAACGTTTGAGTGGTTTTATCAGAGTAGCTCTGGTCCACACCTCCAAACTCGTTTCCTTAACAAGACTCCAGGTATGCTAACACCTGACTCCAATTAGCTTTCTTGAGGTTATTAACTCTAGGGCTCACACACTTTTTTTCCACTAGCACTATGAGGTTTTTATGGTTGTTCCCAATAAAGATATGAAAGATCAGGATTTTTTTTGTGTTGTTATATTAGGCACATTATATTCGTCAGTACTCTTGACTTAGATGAAGATCAGATCACATTTTACGACAAATTATGCAGAAAACCATGAAATTCCAAAAGGTTCACATACTTTTTCTTGCCACTGTAGTTTGTGCATACTACAGATTTGCAGCACGTATTGTGGCTTCTTCTGGCTCACTCGTTTCATAATATCGAACGGATGTGTGTTGAAAAGACTCTGATGACTCAGTAGCCATTGGTCAGTTATCACATGACACACATGAACCATATTCAGTACATTTTAAATACATGATACATTTATCTAAGATCATATAAACCCTCACCATTATAAAGACATTAAAAGATATAGATATCTAAAATAGTTACACAAAGTTTAAATACTCTAAGAAAAAGACACAATATAGAAAGAAGCTGATCCCTGGCTTTTATCCATCTAAAGTTGTTGATTAGCTCTGGTTTGTGAGACAAGACGTTGGCAATGTATGAATTTTGCTTGAAAATAATCAAATGTCAAATTACAGAAGCAAAACCACAAATTTAACCTAAACTCTTGGTGGAACTAATGACAACACTGTTTGCTTTTGATACATCAAGATTCTTAGGGGAAACATTAGCCTGGCGTGTCTCAGGCAGTACAGGCCACACGTTTTTCATCTGACTAAAGTGCTTGTTGCATTCATACCTCAGCTCAGGATATTTATTGTATACGTCAGCCCTGAAGTCAAAAGGTGTCATTATCTTTTGTCAGATTTGTTTTAATCTCCACATTGGCAAAAAAACTATAATCCATCTGGGTGGTTGTTTGTCTACATGTCAGCCTCGTGATAGACTGGTGACCTGTCCAGGGTGGACCCTGCCTCTCGCCCAATGTCAGCTGGGATTGGCTCCAGCCCCCTGCAGCCCTATTCAGGAATAAATGGCATAAATAATGGATGGACGTATAATCCTTCTTAAATCAGCTTCTCTCTGTCTCCTAGATTGAGCTGGCTATTTTGAAATTCCCCTACGACTCATGGCGCACCCCGTTCCAGCAGCTTAAACAGGTGGTAGACGAGCCATCTCCACAGCTGCCCGCCGACCGTTTCTCACCAGACTTTGTGGACTTCATCTCCCAGTGGTAAGCCTCACACTGGACACACCAAGTCATGTTCCTCATTCACCCTGCGATTAAAAACAGCAGTAGCACCGAGGCCCAGCAGGGGTCAGTCTTTGCTGTGTTCACTGACGGAGGCAGCAGAAGTACAGCATCCTAAGCCCTTAACATGATGTCAGATCATATTTATGTATTTGACTGTTTTTAGATGTGGATTTATATTGAGCTATAATACATTTCAGTTTTTGTGTTTTCTGTTTTACTCCTTTGCTTTTATCTCTTTGTTTTTACAGCTTAAGAAAGAAACCAAATGAGAGGCCAGCTTATTCAGAATTAATGGTTAGTAGGTTTTAGATCTTTTTCTGTTACCCAAAAAGACTAACAAATATTTTTCTGGGTTATACTACGTTGTTCACTTCACAACCAATAACATCTCCACTAGTGTTCAGTGTGCTTTGGATCTTGTTTTTATTCACAAGAGGCCAGACTTATCCAATTAACTCATTTGTTTTCCACAAGTAAATAACAACACATGTATTATAAATTTTTTTTTGTCATTCAAGAACATATTTCCAACACTGTCTTTTTATATTGCTTTGTTTGGTGCAGAAACATCCATTTTTCACCCTGCATGACTCCAAAGACACAGATGTGGCCAGTTTTGTCAAGGTCATCCTGGATGACTGATGGGCTCCTGGCACGCTCCACCCCGTCAGGGTAGGCAGGACCTTTCAGCAAACGAACCAATGCCCTGCCTTTTTTTTATTTTTAAACTCACTGGAATGACAGACTCTCATGCACGCACACACATCAGGAAGGGGGGGGTGAGGGGGGACTGACAGCAGCCCAATAGCACTGGAGTGGGAGAGCGGTGGTAATATGAACTCAACTGGAGAGGTTTAATTCACTCCTCCAAGCTTCCTGTGTGTGCAATTATCCAACATGGCAAATATGAACTGAACCTGATTTGCTGTTTTTGTCTTCTTTTGTTGTTGCTCCCACTGCCCTTCTTATCTTTCTCTTCAGAATGGAAAGAGCCAGCTATTGTTTCATTGTGACACATATTATATGAATACTTGGGGTTTCATTTGCAAAAACCAACAGTTAGTGTATGTTGCTGTGTACTAAAAGCTATGCCTTTGTATGTTTTTCTCATTATGCAGAGTTTTGATACTGTATATTGCTAAGTGTGAATTTTACCAGACTAGGGCCTTATTTGTCAGGTCATATCAGGTGAACAGTGTGCCCTGATCTGCCCCGAGGCAGTCAGTCAGTGCAGGGACTGCAGTTGGTGCGAGCTGGGCTATGAGAGGCTCCAGGGCTGAAACAAAATGTGTAAGAAATGTGAAAAGTCACATTCAGAAGCGGAGGAGCTCTAAGTCATTCCTAAATGTCTTGGTGGTGAGACAGGAATGTAAGGTGTCCAATGTTGGTGATCTGAGACCTGCAGTGACCCCTCTGTAATCTTTCTCTTTTTTTTTTTGCGGGGGGTGGGGGGTTTAAAGAGTCGGCTCCAGTGCTGCCACTGTTACTATATGGAAGTATTCAGGGGTTGCCTAATCAACCTCACAGCTTTGTTTTCTGTGTGCCATTTTGCTAATTATTCTCAACTCTTGTTTTGTGTGTGTGTGTGTGTGTTTGTGTGTGTTCCAGCCTTTTTTGATTTTTTTTTTTTTTTTTTTTTGGCAGAACTTTATCTTATGGCTTCTTTTCCCTTTGCTTACCTTTCTCAATTCTGGAGTCAGCATAGCCCTTTTACATGTGGCACTTATGTTTGTTTTTCTTGATCCAGAAACCTTATTATGCCTTACACAGACAGTATGTTAGAGAACTAATTTATGTGTTGAAGATGTAAATACTATCTCCTTTTTTAATGTAACATGGGACTGTCCTTACCTGGCAGTGTAGGTGAGTGCTAGAGTGGTTGGGATTACTTAGTTTTAATGCAGTGTGACGTGCACACACACATGTACTCACTCATAGGGCCAGTTGACTATCATACACCTATTTTGGACTGATGTTCTGTCAAGCACCACCGTTCAGGTTTCTGTGTTCTCCTGCGTGAGGAGACGACTTTTTTTTTTTTTTTAAATTCCCCCAGGTTGTACTCTTGAGTGCTGAACCCAGATCCTCAATTCAGTCCATGGTGGACAGCCATTATCTCAGACCATACTATGCAGAGCCCCTTCACCTTGGACACACAGCAAGAGGCCCCTGCCATGTGGCAGTTTCCCCACTCCCAAGTGTTCAGAGACTGTGGTGACAATAGCGATAACTGCCGTGCCTTTGTTCATGGCCAGCACTCATCACTTCTGATGTACCCTGCAGTGCAACCGTCATCAAAAGTCAGTGAGCTAGGAGTATTTATGATTGTGAATAATAAGGGAAAGCTAGCAACACCACAAAGAAGCTGCTGTTAATGTTTTCTTTTTTTTTTTGTTTTGTCAGCCTTCTTTGGTGTGCAAGTCAGTTTTGCGCTAATCACAATGAGAATGGAACACTTGCTCTACCTCTTACTCCTTCTCTCTATTTGCCACCTTTTCATTGGGTGGGACTGACAAACTTGAACTTTGGAAAGACAAAATAAAGCTTTATTGTTCAATATGTACAGTTTGTTGTTTGTGAGGGTAATGCACAGAAGTTGTCAGGAATTTGTCTTGCTGTCTACAAATCCAACAAAACACAACCAATGAAATGATTTACTTTTTACAAGTGTCATGTGTATAAAAAAAGCTACACTGATCAGCCACAACATTAAAACCTCTGGCAGGTGAAGTGAATAACATTGGTTATCTCATTACATGGCACCTGCCAAGTATTTATTTAGTGGCAAGTGAACAGTCAGTTCTTGAAGCTGAAATGCTGGAAGCAGGACAAATGGGCAAGTGTAAGGGTCTGAGCGACGTTGACCAGGGCCAAACTGTGATGGCCAGACAGTCAGTCAGAGCGTCTTCAGCATGGCAGGACTTGTGCGGTATTCCTGGTATGCAATGCTCAGGACCTAAGGTTCATTGGTCTGATCCCACAGAAGAGCTACTGTAGCACCTACAATGGACAAGAGCACCTGAACTGGACCATGGAGCTATGGGACAAGGTGGCCTGGTCTGATGAATCACATGCATGGCCAGGTGTGTCATTTTACCTGGGGAAGAGATGGCACTATGAACCACTACGGGAAGAAGGCAAACGGGTGGAGACCGTGATTCCCTGAGCAAGGTTCTGCTGGGAAACCTTGGGTCCTGGACAGCACTAGACCTAGTCATGAGATCATTAAAGTTATTACAACAAATTGCACACACATGCTTGAGAATATTCTAGTGGTTTTTGTAGTACTCTGAGCAGTGTGCGTTCTTTCTGCTCAGTTGCATGACTGTCTACCACAACACAACTGGTGCTGTAGATCAATAGATGTTTGTCAGTAATGCTGGAGGTCATAAATGGACACACGGAAACCCGCTTATATAATCATGCAAATGGGAGACGTCCAGTCAAATAAACTTTTCCTTCTCCTTTCAGTCTTGCTGAAAACTAAACCTTTAGGTATAACATAGGTGTGAATCAAATTCCACTGACAGATGTGGCTAAATTGTCATTAGTGAGGCTGTTTGACCAGAATTGGCTGGTGAGAGCTCTGCCTTCAGCTGCAGCTGTTAACATCCATTGCATCAGCTCACAGCTCTTCTTCTCCAGCAGTAAGTGCAGAGATATTACATTTCAACTTCTTTGCCTGTCTTGAGTTTTAAATAGTCTAAATGTTCCGAATCATGCGGTAAACAACACAGGGCCTCTCGAAGCTATAATCCTACTGGCTATTGCTGATATATAATTATGGTCTCTATTAATGTTTCATACTGTATATGGTGACTGAAGTTTGTTTATTTCCCATGAGAAGTTATCACTTGACTACGCAGAGTCCGGAGGATTTTAAATGCTAAACAACAGGCTTCTGCTATTCACTCACCTGTTTTGGCCGTGCGTTCGTTTTACTGAAGCCACAAACTGGCACAGCACTAAACAGAGGTGAAACATGAGAGCTGAAATATGTATATTGCACAAGCCCTGTTCATTTCAGGAGTTGTATCTGTGTCAGGAATGAACAGAGCATCTCTCAGCCATAGCAGTTTGATAGATGTGCTGTCATCTGCATTTCATGAGGAGTGGTCACCACAAATACATGTTTGTTTTAATATGGTGACACCTGCTTATTCACACTCACTCATCAGCCTGAAACAGACAAACATCTTCTCTCTGTGGCTTCACTTTGGCATTGTGATTTATAATGGATGCCTGCCATTGACGCTTCAGGGTTCAGTTACAGCGTGCTTTAATTCAGGCTCAAATATGTTCAGGTATCGCCTTCAAAACTAGAGAGAAGAGCTGACATTCACTGCACAGGATCCAGCACAAACCAGTCGTCGTCCTCTCAAGCTGCTAAGGTTAAGAAATCTCTTTCAAACAGGTGCCACTCGTGAGCCAGGATGCCCTTTACATTTGCTATCCAGCCCTGCGACCTTGATTTTGATGCCATGGAAAACATGTAGTCTATTTCAAATCTTTGATGCCAGCTGGGTTAAGAAGCCTGGGGTATGAAACAAATACAGTAGACATTTCCAAGCCACTGGTTCCTTTTTATTCCTAATGATCTGAAATGTAATTATGTAATTTCCTTATCTTGTTCATGTCCCTCTGAGAAATTTTCTTTTCTCCAGAAGATTTATTCATGGTCTCGCGTCTGCTTTGTCTCACAGTCCTTTGAGTCTAGAGAGCACAGAATTCCCTTCAAGGCTTTAGTTCAGTATTGTTTACATGCTTTTGTAAGATTTGTCCTTGTGGCAGAATATTTTTAAACTGTGGTATTTCTACTTTTACTTAATAGTTCTGGATACTTGTTCCACAACATCTTATAGAGTAATGCTACATGGTAAAAATGTTTATTTTCAGTCATGTTTTATATTTTTTTTACAGACAGATTTTTTGGAACTGAGATGTTTATTAAACCTTTTAGCAAAATCCAAAAGAAAATTTAAGATTCAAGATTTTTATTTGGCATTTATGCATAGGCAGACAGTCCAGGCATATAGAAATAAATGTGCCATATTATTTTGCTTGTTTATTTTTTTGTATCACATATGATACATGGGGCATTTTTGGGGGATTTGTTTTTTCTTTTTTTGCTCAGAGACTCGCATAGCAAATATGATACAAATAGTTTTATCACTCTCTAACCCTCCCTTCACTCCTCTCAGATGATGCAATAGGAGCCCATCAACAGTGTAGCATGTTGCATAAGGCTGTGCAGCTTAAGCCTAAGAAAATCTATATTCCATAATGGCTGTGTTACCCTCCTCAGAAAAGGGACCAAATCCTACATATCCACCACAGGCCACCCTGTGTTGTGCCTGTAGAAGACAAACTTGCGTCTGCTGCTTGTACATCTGCCATCTAAGGGCACAGTGATGGCCACATTTTCCTTGGCAAGGCATAGAGACACAGATCAACAGGCTGGGGCATGCAGATTCATGGATGGTTGATGAGGGATGGTGTCCTGAGCTCCTCCACAGCTCCCATTTGTCCATTTAGTAATCACTGTGCATAATTATTATAATCAGCACAAGATAATCATCAGAGGGAGGACTGTATGGGACACTGTGTTGTGTGCCACTCTAATGAGTTGCTGGGTGGTTCGCAAAGCCCCGCTACTAGATTTCCATCTCCAGGACACAGGCAGGTCAGGAGATCGTGAGATCTGGCATAAGATTAGGGGCATAATTCTAAAACGGAGTGCACTGGCACTCCTCTGTCCATCTGTAGGTCCCATGGGGTAACAGCAAAGAAGGGTTCCCAAACTATACTTCATCGAGCAAAAATAGGCATGAATTTAAACACTGCTACTTGAGACCTAGCAGAGGAAAAAAACAATAAAGGCTGAACAAGGAAAATCTCAGGATAGTATCAATACAAAGCCAGGGATCTGCTTGACTAGTTACTTGGTGATTAATAAATCATAGAGCTGCTAAGACTGTCACAAGCATGTGATGACTAGGCATATCATCATTTCAGTCTCTCTAATGCACCTGTTTAAAATTTGAAAGAGATGGGAAACAGCCAAGCTGCCAGTATTGTAGTGCACGCGTTGGTTAAATGATTGTCTCAAAAATGTAGTAGTGTACTAAAACTAATCTACCAAAAATGTGCCTAGTTTGAAGAGCAGGGTGTTGACAAAGCATGTTGTCATTGTTCTGTAGTACATTTTGTGTCTCCGTAGGTATTTTACAACAGTCGATTTGTGCAGAGTTGAGCATCACATTTCTTAAATATGTTTAACTTTTTAAATTTTTCTTTTGTGTTTCGAGTAAAGATCAGAGTGATCCTCCGTGGAGGTGAAAGCTAACAGTAGTGATTCTCGACCACCAGTACTGAATCTTTAAAAAGGAGGAAAATGCCTGCATACAAAGGCTGTGTACTTTTTGTTCATTTCTTTTTTTATAGCTTGCTTTATTTTGTTTTGGGTTTTTTTGTAGAAAAGGCTAAGGACTAACGATGTATCATAGCTAAAGTGTATTGAATGTTTCATATTTAAACAGTGCTGAACTAGCCTATGTACATAACTACAACAAATGTACTTAGTTACAACTTAGTTACATTTATATGACTTTCCTTAAG